CCTTCGTGTACATAGACGGTTTGTTTTTTTTTGCGCTTGTTTTATGCTTTATTTTGTTTTTGTTTTTTTTTTTTTTTTGCGAGATCCCCCCAAATCTTAATTAAACCTTTCTTTAACCTCATCAGCTCCCGACTAGGATGGGAATAAAACCTAGGATTCAGTCTCATATTTCATCTGAAAGGGTTATCAGATTTTTTTTTTGTGATGGTCAAATTCTCTAACATGACAATTGGGAGTTACATGTAGCAGGTATAAAGCATATGACTTCCACCCCTCTGTATTAACTCCTGTATGAAGAGTTTAACAGGACTGTAAAGTACGCGAAATTCGCTGATTTGGGGGTGGTTTGGAGTTAGTGAACAGTGAGGAAATGTAAACGTTTGTTTAGGCTGGGGGTAAAAAAATGGGCCCTATTGTCGGCGCATTATTGCAAAACCCGTCAGTGGGGTTTTTCGTAAAACAGACTGTCCTGATGAGAAAAACATTTTTGCGCTCTGCAAAGGAGGTACAGAGTCATATAACTATAATTTGTAAATAAAGTAGTCGAGAGCGTATAAAGATTATTCTTTCATTATATACTAGGTAACTGATCCGTTAGCAGGATAAATTGAAAACTTATTGATTTAGAAAAAGGGATCTAAAGTTTTAAGCTTTGGCACACCTCACAATTCAGGACAAAAACAGGAACGACACTGGGCTCCGACTTCCATAAGTGACGTCAGAACTCTTGTTATCGTACGACATTACAATATGGAGACTAAGCAAGAAAAAATTATGGGATAGACATGGTCATGATTTGCCATCAGTTAGTTATAGAACCTGAAATGTCCACACTTCATAATCGGGTCTGGAACTCGTTACCAGCGTTATCTCATATTATAGTGAACATGGTAAGGCTAAATGATAGATTTTTCGATAAACTTTTAAGAAGATAATATTTAACAATTATGGAATGGGCTGATGAGGGCGAGACGAATAATTGTTTTAGTGAAATGCAACTAGCTGGTCAAAAATAACGAGACAAAACAACTTTAACTCGTTAAACGCTTCCGATTATTGACAAGGTTTTTGAATCACTGCTTAGCAAACAAATAACCCATTATTTTGACCCTACTCTATCTCCAAGATTGACGGCGAACAGAAAGAATCACAGTTGTGAAACGACACTATTAAGACTTGCAGAGGACTGGAAACATGCTATCGACAGAAAAGAATTAGTGACCATTCTATCTACAGACATGAATAAGGCTTTTGTCTCTCTATGTCACAATTTAGTCATCAAGAACCTCAAAGCATATGGGTTCACTAATCAATCATTGGATCTAATTCGAGCGTTTCTGAATGACAGATACAGCCGCGTAAAACTAGGCACTATTAGAAGTGAATTGTCTAAAATGCCACGTGGTTGTCCTCAGGGATCTTCATTTGGTCCATTATTATGGAACTTATTCCAGAATGACATGACCATGTTGGTTTAAGACACAAACCTTTTCATGTATGCTGACGACCATCAGCTATATATATGTAACAGGGTCGGACTACAAGGTTCCAGGCTACAATATCAAGGAAAGTTAGCAATGTCATGGTACAGGGATAACTTTCTACTTGCCAACACAGAGAAGTTTCAGTGTCTTACTATCAAGCCAAGAAACATTGACTCAGATAAACAGACTAAGGCCCTGCAGATTGAAGATGAGATAATTACCAACACTTCGCAAATCAAATTACTTGGAGTTGAAAAAGATGACAAGCTTAATTTCACCAGCCATATCAGTAACACTTGCATAAAAGCCAGTCAAAAAGTTGGTGTCTTATTGAGACTGCGAAATTTGATACCAAAAACTGATTATCTACAAATCATCCATCCTGCCTCACTTAACATATTGCCATCTGGTATGGCATAACTGTAGATCTTCTGACAGTAGAAAAATAGAGCGGATTCAAGAACGCGCACTTAGAGCAGTATTTAACTCCCATTCAGAATCATACGGAAACCTTCGTGCAGAGCTACCTCCACTACTAAATCGAAGACTACAAGATATCGCTATATTAATGTACACAGTAAAATATGGCCTCGCACCGAGTATTGTTAACGAACTATTTAAGCAGTAAAGCACTAGTTATTCACTAAGAAACAGTGATTTTGATATTCCGTACTATTAACTATAAAAAGCATTCTCTTAGATATCAAGGACCTTATATATGGTCGAAACTAGATATTAAATTGAAAGGCTCCTCGAATATTGAATCTTTCAAAAAGAACATTAGGAAAAAAAAACTAACGTCACTCTTAAACAACAACAATAGCTGCTGTAACCTTTGCAATTCTTAGAGACTACCTTTTATATACCTACTGTTTTATTATACAATTTATACATGCCACATATTTTAATTGTATATACATTATTATTATCACTTCTTATTTGTAAATAATTTTTATTTTTGTGTCCTCAATTAGTTGTGAAAACTAAATACATTGACACATTAATAAAGCTTTTACTTACTTACTTTACTTTACTAAAGCTAGGCTTTAATCCTTTTTTTGCCGCCATAAAGCCGGCGCTTTCGCTACTAGTGGGCTATAACATTTAGCCTAGTAGTAGCTCAACCAATCAGAACGCAGCATTGATCTGTGATAATATAATAGACCACTAGTTGGATTTTACTAAATAGATTTAGCCAGGACTAAAAGCGAAGCTCTCGGGGATTTATAGTTTACCCAAACAAAATATAAAATCGTGTAATGCTGAGCGGCTAAGGCAACGAAAACGGTGAAAAAACAACAATAGGTCTAATTAGCAAAAAAGCAACTTTGCACGTGCAGGACACTTTTTTTGTACATTTCTTTGCCGTTGTTCTGTACGGCCACAACGTGAAACTTCCAGAAACTTCCTAGTTACACGTTTTGAGGAGGAGATGTCGTACGTGTTCTTGTTCACTTTTTTTTCACTGCCGCTCATTTTCACCTTGGTGGCCGCTAGCATTTCTCATTTTCTCACCGCTGCTACGAAATTTTCATGTTGTTCTTCCAACAAAAAAATGTCTTCATTTTTTTTATCTCTCGCTCTAGCTGTCTGTCACCCTTTTTCTCGTTGATCTTCGCTGACCTGTCGCCTACTTTCTTTCTTTCTCTGTCTTTCTCTTTCGCTATATTCCAAATTTGTGAACATGACAACTATACTAAGCTTACTACATCAATTTGGACAACACAGACACAGAAATTAAACGATTTCCGCTTTCCGTTTTCGTCTTTATTGAGTTGTCTCTGCTTCACAAGACGCGAGTGGTTAAGCGATTTCCCGCAGAAATATCCTCGAGTTGCATTTGGGTTTGCCATTTCCCATATTTGTTGATTGAGTTATTTTACATTGGTATGACAGTGGTTCTTACGGACGGGCGATTGGGTGTCCGGTCACGTGATAACCAAAATTTCTCGGATATGTGGATTGCCACATTTTCTCAGGTATGAGGCTAAGCTCGCGCGAGCGTGGAGCTCCGCTATAAACCTTCTTATAGGAAATAAACGCTTCATGAAATTAACGCGAATCTCCAAAGTTCGACTTAATTTCAGGCGCGTTAATTTCAGCGCCGTTAATTAAGTGTAACGTTTATTTCCGCGACCTTAATTTCCATTATGTTGACTCCAATTTCTTAATACCTTCAGACATTCTAGACACCTAACTAAGAATAAAAAGAGGAGTATTTAGTGGATAACACGTGACTGAATACGACTTCTTCCTTTTTTGCTCAAAGGTAAGTGCTAAATCACTATCGCTGAACCTAAAAATTGATTTGAAGGTTTAATTAAAAAGGTAAAAACGTGACAACGTTTTAAGACTGATCTCAGCATCCACGGCGAGGGCGTTTAAGCGTAAATATCAAACCGTTCATTAAACTAAAGCAAAGTAAATAGAGTGTAATGTTTATGAGACCCTTCCGACTCCTTTTTTACATGGTTTTGTGAACTTGACTGTGCACAACGTATGTTTCTATTGATTTGACCTCACTGACCAATAAAAACGTGGAACAAATTTAAAGGTTTTTGAATCGTAGGTAGCTTAAGCCTCCAAAGGAGGGAGCTAAAGGCCCGACTGGCCCATCTTCCATTACTGACCCTGTAAAACCCTCTTTATCCTCTCTTGTAATAGTTGTAACAACAGATTTGTCACTAACTGTTATGAGAAAAATGTCAACCTTTTACATGAAAAGGGCCTTGGAATAGCTACAAGCGTTAGCTCAAACTGAATTTTACTGAGCTGACTGATGGATTTTTTCAGTTTTTAAACGTTTTTTAACTCCTAACTGGGAAGTAACCTTTCGGAAAAGATAAGCGTAGGAAGGTCTAAGTAACTTTTCTCATAAGCCTGAAACTCATGCATTTATTCATATATATATTTTTGGAAATGTGTGTTGCAATTCAGTCGTTACAAATTAACAATTCCATTTGAAACAAAAAAGTTAAGATATGATTTTCTTGTTCTCAAACTTAACTGTTGTATGCGTGCCGCATAAGTGTTTTTAAAACCTTCACATCCTTGCAAAAATTCAGCGAGAAAATAAATCAACACATTTCTTGCAGTATCCTCTTTTATTTAAACATCAAACCTGGTTGACACTACAGTTTTCTATAATGAGGTACCATTAGACCAAAATTTACGTCTCATACAAAACAGTGTAACTCAATTGACCACTCCAGAAATACCATAACATACCATAATGCTCTTTGTTTGTCACCCCAAAATTTTGCGTCAGCATTGTCTTCAGTTTCTCTTGGGAGTTAAAATGGCCCTAAGAGGAACTGAAAACAATGCTTATGCAAAATTTTGGGGTGACAAACAAAGTGCATTATGGTATGTTATTGTATTTTCTGAAGTGGTCAATTAGTCAGCTAGTAGCAAGCCTTTTGAATTTACACCCCTTAATTTATGGACTGATTTCTAAGTTATCCCTGGAAGACAAGGCTAATTTTTCGTTAAACGTTAACGCTAACAGCAAGATTATTAAATCAATAATGCGCCAAAGTAACTGTGTCTGGGAGCCATGTAAATTATAGGTCCTTTTTCATCAGGATAACAGTGAGCAGTCAACGTGATGACGTCATTAGCGTTCAGGTTGAAAACCCCACCAGCGTACACGGTACCATGAAAGTCTTTATCATTTACGGGTGGCTGAAGCATGGTCACGACTTTGTAGTTAACTCTGATAAAGACTCGTCCATTGTTGTGGAAGTAAAGTTGAGCGTAGATATAGTACTGTCCGGGATCAGGCACCGTCAATTTTCCGTCTTGATACTTCATGCCGCATCCAAGGTAGCTGTAGGGAGCGTTGACAGACCAGTCCTTGATCACTATGAAGCAAAGTATAAACAGGCGTATGTGATTTAAGAGATCATATAAAGGTGATCACTCTCCAAGAACTTTCAAAACTTTACTTTTAACCCTACCTACCCAATTCGTGTTCAGGGCTTGAGGTTGAACCCAACCGAATACCCCACGATATCCTAGCACGATTTTCTGAGATTAATAATGAGATCGCATGATACATTGTTACCCTACAACGATACAGTAGAAGTAATCGTTCATTTTATACTTTTTCGCAAAGAATTTTTCCCTGTTGACGCGTTTTAAAAAATCGTTATTTCTGTAGGTGTACTTTAGTTTCTTTCAAAGTTCTGGCTCAAAAAAAAAAAAAAAAAAAAAACATTAAATGCAAATCTACCTGGAGTTATAAAAACCAAACATTTTGTAATTTTTCTCAACTTCCCCTGTCTAATAGCTTGACGTATGTTTACTGTGTTGCTTGCTTCTGTCTTTTTTTTTTGCTTGTGTTGTGGTTAGGGATTTGTATAGAAGTGGATGTAGACAGAATTAATATCTTAACCCCCCTAACCTACCGATTTTTTTCCCTACCCACAATTCTTTCTTTAACACAAGTGACAGTTATTTGAAATCAGTGCGCGCCTAAAGCTGGTTTCGGTGCCGTTTAGCAGTTTAGTTTTATATATTGGTCACCTTGAGAAAACTTTCCCGGAGAGCATTATGTAAAGCTCTGAGATGGGACAAAGTTATTACTATTCGCAGAGTCTGCATAGTCCAATATCGTATTATATTCTCGTTTGATTTGGCTAAGCGGATCAATCACCCTCCTGATCCTGAGACAGGAAGCTACGATATTGTTCGCTTTTCTAAGGTGACCACTAAGTCTTTGGCCTCGGGAACAGGTTCTTAGGAGACAAATGATTTAGGTGAAAGCAAGATTGCCAGCGAACTTTGACCCGGGCCAAGAGTGAGTTTTTTTCTGGTGTGAAAACAAGGCTAAGGTGATCCGCCGACCGCGTGTCTCTACATCCGGGAACTTGAATAAGACGAGTTTAAGAGAAAAGTCCACAGGTGTTTATCTGGCTGAGGTTTTCCGAGTTATTCGATGATATTTCGCTTATTTTAACCGTGAGAAGATTATGCGTGGTTATGGATAGTAAGATCAGTTCTGCGAAAGTGTGTGATTGTGTGATTTCCGCATGGTGTTGACAGGTATGTGATCGCGTGGTTGAACTGCGGTTTGGCCGAAATATTCTGTGCCAGCCATTAATATTGTTTCGTCTGTGTTTAGCTTTATAGCTGATTGTATCTTGGAAAAGTAACTCTTGAATCAGAAAAATTGGCTCTAGGTCTAGTTTCAGCGGGCTCTAATGGCAGCGCACATAAGAAGGTGGCAGTAATTTCTGCACTATGTTTCATTCATTCATTCATTTCATTCATTCATTTCATTTCATTCATTCATTTCTCTTCCATGCGGAATCCTGTTGTTTATAGGACCGCGAAAAAAAGTAGTGTTTTGCTAGCTATTTAAGTTGTGTGTTATATTCCTAGACTTTCACTCAACTAAACACGTAGCCACGTCTTGGTCACGTAGCCTTGACTAAAATCAAATGTTTCCCGATCGTGATACATTAAATAATGTACCCCGCTCGGGATACATTGCAGCACGTGATCAAAGCATGGTGGAAAGTGGCGTGACAGAAGGCGGGAAAAACACCGCCAGGTCCTGCCAGTTTTCTTTTTCGTGAATGAACACAACAACACAAACACGAAGCCTCAAGCTAAAAAGCAACGATTTCAAAGTTATCCCAGAAGTTTCCAGAAGAAAAACAGCAGCTAGTGGATGAAAAAGATGCAGATAATATAAGGAAAGTACTTTAGTTTGTAAATCATTCATTCAGTGGTTTTGAGAATTAAATTTGTGTTCTTATAAGAACCGAGTCAACTCTTTTGGTTCGCTCCGGTTATTCTTTTGTTGCTAGCTGTTGAAGTGAAAGTCTAGAAATATAACAAAACACTTGATATCAGGTCCCTCGGGAAACCAGTTAGTTTTGTTTTCCCTCGAGTCCTGATGTTTCCCTCGACTTCGTCTCGAGAAACATCAGGACTGTCGGGAAAACAAAACTAGCTGTTTCCCTTGGGTTCTGACATTAAGTGTATAATGTAAGCCTTAACCAGGCACTCTTTTGCTGCAGTTCACTCTCAACTTAAAAATTTCTAGACTGAAATGACACCGATTTGAAACTTCGCGAACTCAGTTTACTGAATAAAAGTTCTAATGTTTGCGTCATTTTAAATTTGGACTCGTTGGAATGCTTCTAGGGACCATTAACTTACTGCCCGGCGTCAGATAAAGGCTTTTAATGGGCCTTTGAATGAGTTTTGTTGTTTTAAATTACCAAGTAGTAGAATGAGTTGATATTTTTGCAAATCCGGTTTTCAAAGTTTAAGAGCAAGGAACTTAAAGTACCTGTGTTAGGTTGATAGCGAACCTCATCCCTATCGGCAGCTTCGATATGAGCAGATGGGTTTGTTGGATACTAAAACAGATAAAAAATCAAGGAAAAGAATGATGACGCAAGTTTACTTATAGCATGACATATACAACAAAGGAAACAAAACATACAGAGAGAGAGAGAGATGCGAGATTGCGGAAAATTAATTCAGTGCTCAAAAGAACACGGCGTATAACAAATGTGCTATATTGTTATTTTTTGGTTATTTTTAATTAAGATGCAAATAAGTATGAGCTGGTTTCCCGCAGTTACCGCAGGCCAAGAGCGGATAAAAGGGTTCTTGTTCCTGTGCAAGAGAAAGCGGCACAGAATTAAACAAAATAACACGGTTATAAACTCGATCTAACGCACTCTTCTCATTTTTTTTTCTGTGTTAGCAGTATCTTAAAAGATTTTCAACGTGAGGAAGACTGCATAGTTATTTAAGAATTTACTGTAAATATAGCCCCTTTTCCCGATAACGGTATTTTTAAGACCAGTCAAGGCGAGTATCTATCAATTGCTGGAAATAGCACCTTAAAAGGAGGAAACCTACCAAGTTTTAAGGTGAAAAGTCCAAAGTAAGCGAGGGTATTACTCCACAACATCCAGCGAAATTTTACAAGCATTAGTATGTTGCAGTCATCAACTCGCCTCTAACCATGTAAACGTCTGCATGGTTCGGTGAATTTGCAAAGCTCCCCAGTAGTCGTCAGCTTTCAACAAATCACTTTTACACTTGGCAACTTTTACTGATTTAAAGGCGTTCTTTTCAATCATGTCGACGAATTTTCACTGACTGTTCTCAGCCAAAAGTTAAAACAACCGTGGAAGGGTCTATAATCCGGGGGGGGGGGGGACCCCGCAAATTTTGAATTAATCCTCTAAAGGAGACCGATCTGGGGGTGGCCCGAGCTTTTTTTGACCCCTAAAAGAGACCATGTTAAAACACAGACAATATAAATATTTTTATATTTTTTCGCGTACAACCCTAAACGAGACCCTCACGGCTAAATATGATGGCGTTTTGCCCAGAACACCCTACGTGAGACCAAAATCCGAAATTTACACCCCTAAGCAAGACGACGAGCATCCCCACCCGTTTCATATGCGGAGTTCCCCCCCCTCTCCCCGGGTCTATAATGAGGCGGTGGGAGCTTAATTAAAACATTGAAAGAGCCACTGACAAAATCAAAACTTGCCGCAATGACGGAAAAAGTCAACTGAAAATCATTCTTAGTACATAGAAAAATCTGATGTCGACTGTCTTACCTGATTTCGAGATACCAGAACTCCAGCTCGAGAGGAATACGGCAAACTGGCACAAACCAGAGAAACACAGATAAAAAGGAACTTCATTATCTCAGTCACTTCTGAAATTACCCAGTGAAGAAATGAAAGCGCTTAGAATGAGGTGCCACTTTATATCCGATTCGCCATTTGGACATCTCCCATAATACACCTTGTTTGCCTCCAAAAACTTTGCATAACCTTTGTTTTTCATTTTTCCTGGGTATTGTAGTGGTTCCAAGAGAAGTAAAAGACAATGCTTAAATACTGATTCTTGAAATTTGCATTAATTCAATAGAAATTTGTATAGGTAATAGCATGATTTGTACTGATATTTGGGATAAATACCACGAGTGATATTTCGAAATTGTTATACGTAATTTCAGGAGCCGTTAGGCGAGTGAAATTTGAGACAATTTTGAAATATCATGAGTAGTATTTATGCCAAATATCACTACAAATCATACAATTATTTGTTTATACCACTACCCACAAACAGTCTGTAATTTTCAAATGTAGGTATTTCAAATTAAGCGGAAATGCCACTGCTCTAAGCCAATCAAATTGGAGAAATTTCTCATGTAGTAGCATCAAATTTCTAATCAATTTAAATTCAATGAACTGATCCTGAATGAACACTAAATGACGAAGAGGACATAACAGCTCTTTGATTTTAACACTATCATGATTGAAGAATTAATTAAGAATCGTATCAGTTTTTCACCCCCAAGCTTTAAGATGTTTTCTTTTGTTTTATTCCCGCACATCAAGTTCAAAGTGTGAATTCCCATTATATTGGTTGTCTTTACACTAGAGTCTAAATAACCTAAGAAATATTTCAAGACAAATAAATTTTAAATTCTTCAAGTAAAAGAAAGCTTCGCACACAACCTATCGTTTTTACTTCAGCTTTTCAGCTTTTCTTGAGCCTATTTTCCCACGCAACATAATTAAGATTGACTGACATGCTTCGCCTTTCTCAAGGCTTAGAGACCGCAAGTTCGCTAAGTCGGTTTTAAGGATGGTTTTCAAGTGACTCGAAACTTTCTTGAATCTTTTCAACTTTCCCACTTTAATGAGATGAAAAGTAAAGTTACTTGAGATTTTACTTAGGCCTTCACACAAGCATTTTTGGCCAAGAAATTAAGTATTTTACAGCCTAGTGTGAAGACAACCATTGAAATGAAATTCAACTGAAATTGAATAGGCGCTTTGCGGATAGTCATTCACGTGTTACAAAACCGCCATGCTGGAGAGGAAGGAACCCACTTGGACAAGACAAACAATGAGCTGACATAATTTAAAATGGTAATTTTTTGTTTGTTTGTCTTCTTCCAGTGAATGTCGAGATGCAAAGGGCCAATTACCATTGAATTTTACTGATATTGAATTCCAGCATGGAATGTTCCAATCGGCTCGGCCAATTTTTTTAAGAAAATGGACAAACTTTCATATCAAGGATCCAGTTCTGCTTTTAAGAGCGGCTTTCCGTTAATATTGACCCACGGTAGGCACAAGTTCAAAATTTGATTTCGCTCATTTTTGGTTCATTGATAACCCTTAATGAGTAATGAAACGTGCTGCAGTTAGTTTTCCCAAAAAACGTGATCTTTTGTTAAAATTCGAGAAAACGCGTTTTGCCCGTTCGGATCGAGCTTAAAATCCACTTCCGGTGAAGCGAAATTTTACGCAAATTCCATTGACTCGTACGTCAATGCAAACCACAACGATCTGGCAGCCTTTGAAGAGCACGAATAGTTTTTATGACCTTTTCTTTCTTATAAGACGATAAAATTGTGAAAGCTGTAATAAATTTGTGGCCAAAAAGGTATCGTTAAAAATTGGCGCTATTGACAATTTCTTACCGTTCAAAATTATAGGGTTAAAATAATGCAAATTTTTACAATGCGCTATAACTTAGAATATCGCAAATTGACTTTCTACTGCTTAACTAGGGCCCAAACGATTTTAAGTAGCCCGCAAGACGTCGCGGTCAATCCTAATTTTGCGAAAAATCGCGACATTCCGGTGGTTACAAGGCCCGTCACGCCAGCGTTACCGATAGATACGCCTTAAACAATTTACTTAAAGGCAGATTAGAAGCCGATTCGAAATCAAATCTTTCAGTAAACCTATTGTTCTCACTGACTGCAGCATTTTCTTCAGATACAACATAAAGCGTCCCTGGGATAGCGTCACACAGTTTCATCTTCAGTTTCAGACTGGCGATTTCCCTCAAAAAATGGTATATAAACAGAGCAAAATCTAAAAACTACAAGTGATTACTGAATGAATTTTTGCATTGAGAGATATTTACGAACTAAATCATCGCCAATCAAAGCCATTTGGTTTATAAAAACGAATTTCCTTGAAGCAATTAAATATTTTCGACTAAGTATTGGTGCAATAATTCTTTTCGAAGTTTTTACTCTTGCGGGCTCTCAAAACTGAAAAAAGCTACGGGATGCCAAAGAGGAGCCTATATACTTGTAGGACAAGGTGTATGAATCATGAAGCTACCGCATGGCTTTATATATGACCCATTAAAACAAACTAAGGGGACACTTGGGTGATTTGCCAGGTTTACCATCAACTCAGTTTCGGGGTTGCTTTCGGCGTTTCAGTGGAAAATTCCTGAAACAAACGAAACGTCTGAAAAGGCATTCGATTATTTTCCTGGTTGGAAACTTCCAGGTGGAAATTTCGGATTTCGGCAAACCTTTTTTGAATATCAGTTTCAGATTTTCGCGGCCGTTTTTCATTAAACAAGACTGACTTAGGCAAATGGTAAACGCGATTACCGAACGGAAAAAAAATTAATCAGTCCTGCATTCTGCTCACCATTATCCCAAACTGCGAAGCGACCGGTTTACCCATGTAAAAAGTAGAAAAGCCTTGTGTCCAAAAGCCTGCGATACAGCTTCCTCTCATCGCTATCTGCCGCAAGGGACATTTCGTCAAAGAGCGGTGAGAGGCGGATGTATCGCTGACTATGCGTCATATATCTTAAGTACCTTGAGGGACCTTGTTAAGTGCAAAGTAGATGGTAGCAATGGAAGATCGTTGCAATATCTCTAATTACTTATTAGGAGACACCAACAGAAAACTCGCTATTCCTCTGCCCCAGACAAATGTTACGAAAAACAGTTTTTCTGGAGCGGTTCTTTGGAATAGCCTTCCTATATACTGATAACCAACAGCAGGCGATGTCTCTTGGGGTTTTGACGGCTGACTGCAAACAATTCTTCTCGAGATCTACACGGTCCTTACGTAAAGCAGACTAAGGCTCTCAGTCCTATTCGGTTTTGTGACAAAGACAAAGGTAAGGTTTTGGAGGCCTTCTTGAAAGTTTCATGGACTAAGGCTACGGAGGACGAGGAAAGTCCTCAAGTCTGTCTTTCCTTTTTAGGTGTTCCCATTCGTTCGTTACAAGATTCTTCTCAGGTTTTTTTATTAGTATTATACTCTATTTTGTTTCCCTATTTTTTTTTTTTTTTGGCGAGAAAGACGATGTTCTCTTTCCAAACGCTGTTGAAAGGAACTTTCAGTCTTTTAACATGTCATCTGCAGTTCAGTATTACAGCTAGAGTTCCATGACACTAAAAGGTCAATCAGTGCAAAGTCTTTCAGACGACAAAGCAGGCCGTACTTTTTAAGTAAGCCAAGAACGCGGAATAGTCGAACGAGTGGTCTGGAGAAAAACAAAGCGGTCGTTCCCTCTTGTCTGGAGCAGATGGGGGGCGCGGGGGAGTGGAAGAGAGTGAGTAGAGAGTTTTAGATCCGAGTTTACCGCGAACCTCTAATCGCTGGAGGTCACGTGACATGTCTTTCGCGTCACGTTTGAGGTTTACGACGTGCGTTTTCAACGTGGGGAGGTAGGTTTTCACGTATGTCATTTACCTGAAAGCTTTTAGCGTATAATTAGAGAGTTTTAGATCCGAGTTTACCGCGAGCCTCTAACCGCTGGAGGTCACGTGACAAGTCTTTCGCGTCACGTTTGAGGCGTTTTCAACGTGGGGAGGTAGGTTTTCACGTATGTCATTTACCTGAAAGCTTTTAGCGCATAATTCTTGTTTCATCCCACGTAATGATACAAAAATCTTGTGGAGCAAGTCTTTATCCATTAACAGAGGCACAAATTCTGGTGAAATGCTAAATTTTATCAATCCTGTTGGATCTTGAAAACAAGTGCCATTCATGGCTGCTGATTCAAAATGGCGGCCGTAATCTAATCCACCGCCAATCTAAATCGAATTATGTTTGAACGTCGAACCGCAAACGAGTAATCGCAAACCGTGGTTAGACGTTCGCGGTAAACTCGGATCTAAAACTCTCTAGTGAGACTGCGGAGAGCCGAGCGAAAAATACGTCTAAAAAATACGATAGAAACTGACAAAGAAAAAATAAAAGAAAGAAAACAAGAAAGAAAAAAATGACAGTTTCGTCGTCTAAAAGCAGTTGAAAAGTTAGTACTAGAGACCTTTAGCATCAGGTTCTTCATGGGAAACTGCAAACTGCAAACCGCAAAATGTCACGTGACCACGGCCTTGCGGTCACGTTTACAGTTTGCAGTTCATGTTTGAACCGCAGAAAGGGCTTTCAGCGGTAAGTGATTTACGGCAAGGTTTTTTGCCGCAAAAAATTCTACAGCCTCGCGTTTAAAGGTATGAACTAGCTTTTTATATCCGTTTGCGATGTGTTTGTTGGGTTTTTGATCTCGAATCAATGAATTATTGCTGATTTTTGGGCGATTAAAGTGATGCACCTCGACTTAATGAAAACAACATGGCGTCCCTAGACAATGAACGCGTAGTTCAAATCGATTTCATATTCCTTTCTGCCGTACTAAAAAAAGAAAGCGTTCTGTTCCAATCCAGAGTTAATTTTATTTTTCTATCGTGTTACTGAATTCATAGCTTAACTCAGTCTCTGTTTAGCTCCTATTTTTAACGTATCACTCCGCGAATTTCATTTTATTTTGTTTATTTCTTTGAGACTGGGGAGCCCAGGCTTCATAAGCCTTCTGGTTTCTTCTGGGCTCCCTTGCAACCTTACAATTCCTATATGTATTCTTTTATTGTATTATATTTTGGCTAAATAAAAATGAACTGAACTGAACTGAACTGAACGCCTTGCTAAAATTTAAAATATCGCCAAAGCGAAACTGCAAACGCGTAGCTGCAAACTGCAAACTGCGGTTTGCGGTTTGCCTGATGCTAAAGGTCTCTACTACCAAATCCGTTCCTGCTGATCAATAACAAAGCGCCAAAGTGCTCGACGCTAGGGTTGAATACATACCATAAGAAGTTGGAAATGAAGGACGTAGTTAACCTGTAACAGGCCTTCAGATAGTCGGGAAAAGCAAAGAAAAATGAGCTAGAAAAAATGGCGAAGGGGCGGGGTTAGGGAGAGAGGGCGAAAGGTCCTCCTACTTTCTCCCTCTTACTCTCTTCCACGTTTGTTTTCCTCCGTTCCCCATTTCGCGCCACTGTCCACTATCCACTATCAAGAGAGAATGAGATCATTCTCTCTTGCCACTATCCACCATCCACTATCCACTGTCCACTACGCCTGGAATAGGCTAGTTCATAGTTGGCCGGAGAGTTTTTTCCAATGTCGATGCAAGGGATCTATAGATTTCCATTTAGGAGCATTTGACATTTTTAAAAGCTATTCCTGCTTTAGCATTAGTAAAACGTTCTTTTTTTTTTCTATTTTTCGTTTTGCTCTAAAGGAAATTTTTGGTGATTTGTTTTTGATGCCTAGCAGCGTTTTGCCAGGAATAAAACGTATTTTAAGCTTAATAACGACAGAGAATCCTGACAAAAAGAATAATAAGTCCAAAATAACTGACGAAATTAGAGGCTCTTCATAATAAATTAGTCAAGGATTCACTACAGCAAAAGCAACGAAGTCGGCGCACGGAGGACTTGTGTCGGTCGCCTCTAACAACGTAACATGAAATCTAGTCCTTTCAACTAGTCAGAATGTTAGACAAGCTTACTTAGCGCACACATGTAGTTTTAGAATCTTTCAGCGGTATTTTACAGGACAATGAAAGCAGGCTTGCTAAAGAAAGAGGTAGAATTTGAGGGAGTGAGAACAACGACTAACCGGCTATACGGACAGTCCGGTACAAGTTAAAACTCTCGATAAAGATTTAGCTAAGGCGTCACAATTTGGGCCAGATTTGTATTGGTACTGACTAGCCAATTTACAAGAAATCTGGCCTACTAACGATTTCCGTATAAATAAGAAAATGCGTTGTTTTATAATGTACTTCAAGGACGTTAGCAGACAAAAATGTACTTTTGGCATTTGCCCATCGCCACAGTCCCATCATTAATACTGACTTCCGTCGTGTGCACAGACGTTTTCCTTTGTTTTGGGGCTTGTTTTTTATTTGTTTTGTTTTGTTTTTTGCGAGATCCCTCCAAATCTTGATTAAACCTTTCTTTAACCTCATCAGCTCCCGACTAGGATGAGAATAAAACCATGCAGTCTCATATTTCCTCCGAAAGGGTTATCAGCCAGTTCTGTTTTTGTGATCGTCACATTCTGGAACATGACAATTGGGAGTTACATGCCGCAGGTATAAAGCATATGACGTCCGCCTCTCTGTATTAACTCTTGTATGAAGAGTTTAACGTAACTGTAAAGTACGCGAAATTTGCTTATTTGGGTATGGTTTGGAGTTAGCGAACTGTGAGGAAATGTAAACGTTTGTCGAGGCTGGGGGTACATTAATGGGCCCTATTGTCGCATTATTGAAAAACCCGTCAGTGGGGTTTTTCGTAAAATAGACTGTCCTGACGAGAAAAACGTGTTTGCGCTCTGCAAAGGAAGTACAACCAGAGTGATACAACTATAATTTGTTTTAATAAAGTAATCGAGAGCGTATAAAGATCATTCTTTCATTACATACTAGGTAACTGATCCATTAGCAGTGATACATTGAAAACTTATTGATTTAGAAAAAGGGATCGAAAGTTTTAAGCTTTGGCACACCTCAAAATCAGGACAAAAACAGGAACGACACTGGGCTCCGACTTGCATAAGTGATATCAGCTGACTCTTGTTATCGTATGACGTTACAATGTGGAGACAAAGCAAGAAACAAAAAAAATATGTGATAGACATGGTCATGATTTGCCATCAATTAGTTACAGAACCTGAAATGTCCACACTTCATGATCGGGTCTAGGACTCATTGTCTTCGTTATCAGATTATAGATTATAGTGAATATGGTAAGGTTGAATGGTAGATTTTTCGATAAAGTTTTAAGAAGATAATATATAGATTTAGTCGGGGCTGAAAGCGAAGCTCTCCGGGATTTACAGGGTGTCCAGAGAGTTCGTTCCTCTACTTTATAAGTCTATATTTCAGTACTATTGGACTCGGTAAGCAAATCATTTGAACAAAAGTTGTGTCTTTCAATCTATTTCACTATTTTCATACTTGTTGTGCAATCTTTTGACTCGAATATTCCATTTGTGTACATCCACGCCAAAGTTGCGCGAGCGCGAGCATATTTTCCAGCCGCATGATTTTTGTATTTTATAGCCCGAATTGCTCGAACTCCTTCCATGTTTTTTTGTGAATATCACAAAAGATAAACCCCCTTAACGCAAAAACGTTCAGGTACGTGAAAGCATAAGCATGTATACTTCGATTTACTGGCTTATCTGTTGTAGAATCTGCTAAAAAAACTGGAAAAATCCGAACGGTTGAGTGGTAAAATGATCATGGAGAAACTAAGGTTTTGAAGGCAAGAAACGAAGGGGAAGACCAAAAGTCCTGAATAAAGCAGCTAAAATAGTTTTAAAGAAGGCTAGATACAAAATAGGAGACTCGACGAGAAAGCTCTTACATAGTTAGCAAGCCAAGTTCAGAAAGGGTCATGAAAAGCGAATGTTTAAAATTAGAGGCCCCTGAGATGGCAAAAAAACCCTCTGCTTAGTCTGCTAAGTAACGCTCAGCTCGTCTCAAATTTGTAAAGAAGTACAAAAGCCTTGCTGTGGAAGGGGGCCAGGATGATTTTCTTTTTTGGATGAATGCCCAAAATATATATTTTTTTCAGCTGCCTAAACTAAAAAAATATTGTTTGGTGGTTGAACTGGCTCCTGCGCACCAGGTGATAAAAGAGCTGAAAATGGATCATCTATGGGTCTTCACGCTGTATCCCGCACCATGCCGCAACGGCTGCAGAATGTGATAAAAAAAAAGAAACAAAAAGAAAAAAAGGCTATGGAGAAAACTAAAGGTTCATCCATCAGAAATCCTTAGCCGAAAGTTTAAAGAGTTACGAAAATCCGTCAAGCAGTTAGTAAGATCTGAGTATAAAAGATATCTAGAGCATCTGTCGAGTCAACTGAAGGTAAACCCAAAACGATTTTGGAGCTACCACTCAATTAAGTCGAAATCAAAACGGCTTCCTGATGTAAGCACCTACAACAGAAGATCTGCGATAAAACCTCATGAGCAAGCTACCTTATTTAATATTCACTTTCATTCAGTTTTTTGTAAACAGAGTACTGGGGTAACGGCTGCAATACAAACTAACTTACAAGATCCAAGTTTTGAGGTAGTTACCAACCATGTGACATGTGACACTAAGGAAGTTCAAAAGCTACTTAGCTGTCTCAATGCTAATAAGTCTTGTGGAGTTGATAAAATACCTGCTCGTTTACTTAAAGAGACTGCTGACACATCTGCAGTTCCTCTGAGTATGCTCTTCAATTTATTGTTCAAACAGGGACGCCTACCTAAATTATGGAAATCAGCTAATATTACACCCATTCATAAGGATGGTGATCGAGACCCAGTAGAAAATTATAGAGGCATTTCATTAGAGGCTGTTCAGCGAAGAGCTACCAGATGGATCACTAGGTCTGATGATGATCATGATACTAGACTATCTAAGCTAAAATTGTTGTCACTATCTAATAGGAGGTTCACTAGAGATATTACATTTTTTTCAATGTAATTAATGGACCTCATTATGATATTGACATTTCAAATAAGCTCATATTTTGTAAGGACAGAAATACAGGTTATAACTTGAGAAAAAATGACACACAGGACATTTTCCAAATTTTAGTAGAACTGATGGTTTTAAATATAGTTTTTTTTTAACCGTATTGTAAATGAATGGAATGGTTTACCCAATCATATTAGGGAATCAAACAGTATTGCAACTTTAAAAAAAAATGTTTTAAGCTTTATTAAGGATAACTAGAACATTTATATTTCTATTTGTATATATTTTTCTTATATTTTAAATAGTGGGGGCATCCCTAGTATGGCGCATTGGTGCTTTTAGTTGTCTCCTTCTCCACAACGTTTTTTTTTTCTTATAGTAGTGTTAGCGTATTTCATTTCATTATTTGCTTGTAATGTAGTGGAGTGAATCTGTAATAAAAAGGGCATGTCAGTCACTGAAATTCTGGATACATGTACTCGATAGAGAAATAAACATCTTCTAGAAATTTCGTGTAAAAATAAAGTTTTGATCAAAAGTTGTAGTGCATGAAATTAGAGGAACGAACTTTTGGGACACCCTGTATAGTTTGCCCAAACAAAATATAAAATCGCGTAATGCTGAGCGGCTAAGGCAACGAGAACGGTGAAAAACAACAATAGGTCTAATTAGCAAAAAAGCAACTTTGCACGTGCAGTACACTTTTTTTCTACATTTCTTCGCCGTTGTTTTGTACGGCCACAACGTGAAACTTCCAGAAACTCCCCAGTAACACGTTTTGAGGAGGAAATGTCGTACGTGTTCTTGATCACATTTTTTTCACTGCCACTCATTTTCACCTTGGTGGCCGCTAGCATTTTTCATTTTCTCACCGCCGCTACAAAATTTTCATGTTGTTCTTCCAACAAAAAAATGTCTTCTTTATTTATCTCTCGCTCTAGCTGTCTGTCGCCCTTTTTCTCGTTGAGCTTCGCTGGCCTGTCGCCTACTTTCCCTTTTTCGCTGTCTTTCTGTTTCTCTATATTTCAAATTTGTGAACATGACAATTTTACTAAGCTTACTACATTGGACAACAAGGATACAGAAACGATTTCCGCTTTCCGTTTTCCTCTTTACTGAGTTGTCTCTGCTTCACAAGACGCGAGTGGCTAAGCGATTTCCCGCAAATATAACCTCGAGTTGCATTTGGGTTTGCCATACCGTGTTGTTTGAGTTATTTTACAATGGTATGCCTGTGGTTCTTATGGACGGGAGGTCGGGCGTACGGTCACGTGATTACCAAAATTTCTCGGATAGGTTGATTTTCCACATTTTCGTAGGTATGGGGCTACGCTTGCGCGCGCGTGGAGCTCCGCTATAAACCTTATCATAGGAAATAAACGCTCAAACGCGAATCTCCAAAATTCGAGTTAATTTCAGGCGCGTTAATTTCTGCGCTTCCGCGACCTTAATTTCCATTATTTTGACTCCAATTTCTTCATACCGTCTGACAGTCTAGACACCTAACTAAGAAAGAGGAGTATTTAGTGGATAACGCGTGACTGAATACGACTTCTTCGTTGTTTTCTCAAAGTTAAGTGCTAAATCACTATCGCTGAACCTAATAATTGATTTGAAGGTTTAATTTAAAAGGTAAAAACGTGACAACGTTTTAAGATTGATTTCAGCATCCACGGCAAGGGCGTTTAAGTGTAAAACCTAAAGCATGCAAGAAAAAATAGAGTGCAATGTTTATGAGATCCTTCGGACTCCTTTTTCATATGTTTTTGTGAACTTGACGGTGCACAACGTATGTTTCTATCGATTTGACCTTACTGACCAATAAAAACGTGGAATAAATCTAAAGGTTTTTGCATCGTCAGGTACTCTCTTTGCTAACCCTGTAAAACCCCCTTTTGTCCTCTCTTGTCGTAATGACTGAACAAAAAGATAAAAGATAAGCGTAGGAAGGTCTAAGTACTTTGTTTTCATAAGCTTGAAACTCATGCATTTATTCATATATATTTTTGGAAATGTGTGTTGCAATGCAGTTGTTACAAATTAACAATTTCATCTGAAACAAAAAAGTTAAGATATAATTTTCTTGTTCTCGAACTTAACTGATGTATGCGTGCTGTATAAGTGTTTTTAAAACCTTCACATCCTTGAAGATATTCAGCGAGAAAATAATCAACACATTTCTTGCAGTATCCTCTTTTATTTAAACACCAAACCTGGTTGACACTACAGTTATCTATAATGAGGAACCATTAGACCAAAATTTATGTCTCCTACAAAACAGTGTAACTCAATTAGTCAGCTAGAAGCAAGCCTTTTGAATTTACATCCCTTAATTCATGGACTGATTTCTAAGTTATCCGTCAAACGTTAACGCTAACAGCAAGATTATTAAATCAAAAATGCGCCAAAGTAACTGTGTTTGGAAGCCATGTAAATTTTAGGGCCGTATGGTTCAGGATAAGAGTGGGCAGTCAACGTGATGACGTCATTAGCGTTCAGGTTGAAAACCCCACCAGTGTACACGGTACCATGGAAGTTTTTGTCATTTACGGGTGGTTGAAGCATGGTCACGATTTTGTCGTTAACTTTGATAAAGACTCGTCCATTGTTGCGGAAGTAAAGTTGGGCGTAGATATAGTACCGTCCGGGGGTAGGCACCGTCAATTTTCCGTCTTGATACTTCATTCCGCATCCAAGGTAGCTGTTGGGAGCGCTGAGAGACCAGTCCTTGATCACTACGAAGCAAGGTATAAACAGGCGTATGTGATTTAAGAGATCATATAGAGGTGATCACTCTCCAAGATTTTCAAAACTTTACTTTTAACCCTACCTAACCTCGCCCCCAGGGCTTGAGGTTGAACCCTACCGAATACCCCACGATATCCTAGCACGATTTTCTGAGATTAATTACGAGATTGCATGACAAATTGTTACCCTACAACGATACAGTAGAAGTAATCGTTCATTTTATACTTTTTCTCAAAGAATTTTTCCCTGTTTTATGCGTTTTAAAAAATCGTTATCTTTGAAGGTGTACTTTAGTTTTTTGTTTCAAAGTTCTGGCTCAACAAAAATAAATTTTAAAAATGCAAAGATTGGAGCAAAGAACTTGAAGTACCTGTGTTGGGTGGATAGCGAACCTCATACTTAGTGGCAGCTTCGATATGAGCAGATGGGTTTGTTGGATCCTAAAACAGAAAAAAATAATAATAAGGAAAAACAATGATGACGCAACTTTACTTATAGCATGAATGATATACAACAAAGGGAACGAAACATAGAGAGACGAGATGCGAGATTGCGGAAAATTAATTCAGTGCTCATAAGAACACGGCGTGTAACAAATGTGCTGTATTGTTATTTTTTTGGTTATGGCCATGAGAGGATAAAAGGGTTCTTGTTCCTGTACAGGAGAAAGCGGCACAAAATCATACAAAAAACACGTTTATAAACTCGACCTAACGCACTATTTTCATTGTTTTCTCTGTTACTGGTATCTTAAAAGATTTTCAACATGAGTAGGACTGTATAGTCATTTAAAAATTTACTGTAAATATAGACCCTTAGGCGAATATCTATAGTCACTGCTGGAAAGAGCACCTTAAAATTAGGAAACCTACCAAGTTTAAAGGTGATACGTCTAAAGTAAGCGAAGGTATTACTCCACATAGTCCCGCGAAATTTTACAAACATTAGTATGTTGGGGGCACGAACTTGCCTCCAACCATCAAACGTCTCCATAATTCCATGACTTTGCAAAGCTGTATCCCTAGTCGTTATTTTTCAACGAATCACTTTCAAACTTGACAGCCTTACTGATTTTAAGCTTTCTTTTCAGCCGTGTTGACGAACTTTCACTAACTGCTCCCAGTCAAAAGTTGAAAACGAACCGTGGAAGGGTCGATAATGAAGCGGCGGGGGCTTAATTTAAACATTCAAAGAGCCACAAAATTAAAACTTGCCGTAATGACAGAAATAAGTCAACGGAAAATCGTTCTTTGTAAGTGAAAAAATCTGAAGTCAATTGTCTTACCTGATTTCGAGGTACCAGAACTTTAGCTCGAGAGGAATACGGTAAACTGGCACAAACCAGAGAAACACAGATAAAAAGGAACTTCATTATCTCAGTCACTTCTGAAATTACCCAGTGAAGAAATGAAAGGGCGTAGAATGAGAGGCCACTTTATATCCTATTCGCCATTTGCACATCTCCCATAATACACCTTGTTTGCCAGCTCCCAAAACTTTGCATAACCTTTGTTTTTAATTTTTCCTGGGTATTGTAGTGGTTCCAAGAGAAGTAAAAGACAATGCTTAATATACTGATTCTTGAAATTTGCATTTAATTCAATAGAAATTTAATTTCTAATCAATTTAAATTCAATGAACCGATTCAGTGAACACCAAATGAGGAAGAGAACATAACAGCTCTTTGATTTAACGCTATCATGATTGAAGACGCTCAAGGTCAAAATTAATTAAGAACAATATCAGTTTTTCATCCCTCAGCTTTAAGATATTTTCTTTTGTTTTGTTCCCCCACATCAAGTTCAAAGTATAAATTCCCATTATATTGAATTGAAATTCAACTGAAATTGAATAGGCACTTTGAGGATAGTCATTCACGTGCTACAAAACCAGCGCCATACTGGAGAGTAAGGAGCCCACTTTCATATCAAGGATCCAGTTGTGAGAAGAGCCTTTTTAAGGCACTGGCTATAAAATTGAATTGGTCTTTAGAGGATGAATCTACTTTTATTAATAAGAACATAAAAACCTGCATGAGATGTACGGTCACGCAGTTTGCACATCAGTGAATCCACTGAGCCCTGCCTCTTTCGTAATTGTATTTACGTGAGAGAATTCGACTTCATCTAATTTGTTTGCCATTTACATGGGCAACTGACCGTTCACGGTTTGGGCCAATTATTCACACAAATCAGTCCCAAGGCTTGAAACTCACTCAAAGATGCGATTTTACTAATGAAACACAAATTTCCGTTTAGAACATTTCGTCCAGTAAAGAAAAAAACAGGACAACCTTTTCAGATGTTCTGTCGCTCCAGGAAATTTCCCCTGGAACAAACCATAAGGTCGTGTTTCATTCACTTTACAACCAGATGTTCCAAAACAATTTGTAAATGATAAACAACCCCCCAAAAGAAAATGCCATCCACACAGTTTGCTCGGAATTTTTCTCGGGTAGATGTTCAGTGGACTCTGCCCTTTTTTTCAATCTGACGATATCTGGCGTCTTGGCTACTATTCCTTAACAATGCTAGGTCTAGTGTATCGAAATCAGGAAAAATATATTTGGGCACTGCTGGTTTCAAGCTACAGGACGTTGCTAAAGTTGAGTGATTTTCCACAAAAGTGCGCACGGTGTGATTTATGCACATCGGCTCAGCTTTTAAAATATTCTTAACCTTCCCACGGAGAACATCATCTGAAGAGGAGAAGCGCACAAAAGTTTGCTTCATGTCTAAGATGAGCCGTGATTATCCATAAATAAATCTCTTAATGTATTGGAAATTACAAAAGTGCACAAGATGTCGTCCTAGTTTACTGTTATGCAGCAGTTTACGCCTTTTCATGGAATTGCTTATAGGTCAGGGGCGGTGTCACGACTGGCTAGCTTGTTCATTTTGTTTATGATACTAATTTTAAAAACGTCCTCATTCGCTATGCAAATTAAGAAATTACTTGTGAATGACAAAATCACATCTTGACCCGTCAAACAAATATGTTTCCCAAGCATTAATTCAACCTTAGACAAAAACTAAACTGTGAAAGCCCGCTAGGATGAACCACAATTGCGATACGTTTCTATCTCCTTCAAGTTTGTCCATCCATTTTGAGTGTTTTTTGATGTTGTTTCACTCATTTTGGTGCCAGTTTCAATCGTTTCAATTTTGATAAAATTCATAGCACAGCTCCTATAGCAGTTACACACCGTAGGGTTCGCTCTGGGTTTTGATCACTTTCATGTTTGCGGAACCCTGCCGAGCAGAACCTGCTTTTGTCTTCTTGAATGAAGAGGAGAAATAGAGGTTCTGCCATGTAGCGCATACTCGAGTAAGCAAAAGAAAGGTTCGGCTGGCAGGGTGGTTTGCGGTTACACCGAGATAAATTAGAATTAACTTGACTAGGAGGAGAAAAACTGGAACCTGGTTTGGCGGTAAACGCGCTTGCCGATTTTGTTTTCGCCTTGTTCCAATTTCATTGTGCGTTTCAAACCTTCATACCCTTGAAAGATTCAGACAGAAATCAACATATATATTGCAATTAATCATCTTTTATTGAAACATCAATAAAGTTCAAAGTATGAATTCCGCTATATTGAATTGAAATTCAACTGAGATTGAATAGGCACTTTGAGGATAGTCATTCACGTGTTACAAAACCGGCGCCATGCTGGAGAGTAAGGAGCCCACTGGGACAAGACAAACAAAAAGAGCTGACAATTTAAAATGGTAATTTTTTGCCTGTTTGTCTTCTTTCAGTGAATGTTGAGCTGCAAAGGGCCAATTACCATTGAATTTCACTGATATTGAATTTCAGCATGGAATGTTACAATCGGCTCGGCCAATGTTTTTAAGAAAATGGACAAACTTTCATATTAAGGATCCAGTTGTGTTCTTAATTATATTGTCACCCCATGATACCGTTCTTTATCCATGGTCATACACCGAAATCTATTGTAACTTATCACTGTTTCAGGTACCGATATAATGGAAGATAACCCAAAATTATTTTTAGATAGGTAACAAGCATAGATAACAAACTCATTACTGCGGTATAGATTCCTTCTCAGGACTGATGTCTTGCCCTTCACAGGGGCACCCAAGGAGAATATAGTTCACAACCACTTAAACGTAGCATTGTTGAACGTATTTTGGCATTGAAATGGTACTGATATAAGCAAATTTTTATCTCCTAAAAATGTTTCATTTGTTCGGTCGGATTTCCTAGCTGAAAGTCCAGTGATCCGAAAATTCTAGGGATCACTTACCTTTTCGAAAATTTCAGTCAGAAAAAAAGCTCCCGAAAATTGTAGGTGACCTTTTTAGGGTAAAAATCGGTTAAAAATGGGTAATTATACCATTTTTTAGATTTTCGAAAACCCTTAGAGAGGCAAGCAAGCAAGAAATTTTACAACAAATGTTCCGAAAATTCCAGATCTCAAATCGCCTTCGGAACAGATATTTTCCGAAAATTAACGTTGGGTGACCCTGCCTTCAGGGTCGCTTCATAAATTTCTACGACTGAAATTTAAACAGAACTGGGCAAAAATATATGAGGCTCTGACTCCATGTATATCAACTCCAGCTTCGCAGCCCTAAAGTTCAAAAAGTTTTCCAGCTAACTTACAGGACGGAGGGAGTTTAAAAGATTAGTTGGTCATTAATTAAGCCATGGCGGTTAAGGTGGCTCCGTAGTTGCTGCAGACGCATTGAACTATGACAACATTCAGTCATAATTATTTTTTTCGGTTTTAACGCGATGACTACGAAACTTACGAGAGAAGACGTGCAGCTTTCATTTTCCAATAATAAGAAACAAGACACTTTAAAAACGTTCATTTGGGCGGAGTGCATAATATTATTTTCTAAGACGGAAAAACAGGTGCTTTGCAAGTGACATAACACCGAGAATTTTCACGACGGGTTTCTAGTTAGATCTATGTAGTAAGGGTGTAGAGAGCAAAGCGTTTCGTACGAAAGCGGGCAGAGGAAAGCCGGGGGATTACATCATCAAAATTCACGAGGTCTTCACTTACGATTGTACAAAAGTAGTTTGTTTCCGCAAAGAGAAGAGCCTTTTTAAGGCACTGGCTATAAAATTGAATTGGTCTTTAGAGGATGAATTTACTTTTATTAATATAAACAGAAAGTCTGCATGAGATGTACGGTCACGCAGTTTGCTCATCAGTCGGAATCCACTGAACCCTGCCTCTTTCGTATAATTGTATTTACGTGAGAGAATTCGACTTGATCTAATTTGTTTGCCATTTACATGGGCAACTGACCGTTCACGGTTGGGGCCAATTATTCACACAAATCAGTCCCAAGGCTTGAAACTCAGTCAAAGATGCGATTTTACTAATGAAACAAAAATTTCCGTTTAGAACATTTCGTCCAGTAAAGAAAAAAAAAGGGCAACCTTTTCAGATGTTCTGTCGCTCCAGGAAACTTCCCCTGGAACAAGCCATAAGGTCGTGTTTCATTCACTTTCCAACCAGATGTTCCAAAAAAATTTGTAAATGATAAACAACCCCCCAAAAGAAAATGTCATCCACACAGTTTGCTCGGAATTTTTCTCGGGTAAATGTTCAGTGGACTCTGCCCTTTTTTACGGGTTCGTTCACGGAAAAAATACAACTTGGTTACAATGTGCTGAATACAATTTTAAGAAATCGCCTCCGTTTTGAAGATCTTTAATTAAATTGTGGGTCATTCAATAACATGAATAATGGTCCATTGACAATTTGTTCTGATAAAATTTTCAAACTGCCGAAACACTTTAGTTGTATAGGGCCACTAATCACTTGTCACTCCACTCAATGAAACAATCTATTTATTCATCTCGAGTAGCGGTTGAAAACCAATAACGGAATTTTGGATATCGACATATGAAAGCTTGTGACTTTCACGTTTCCCATAATGCAATTTGTTTTCCCCAAAAAATTTTGTTTAAGTTTTGTGTTCAATTTTTCGAGGGACAAGTTTTAGTCCCAAAAGAAATTGAATACAATACTTGTACTAAACTTTGTGGGGAAAACAAATTGCATCATGGGCAATCTGAAACCCGTCAATTTCAATTGTTTTTGAGAAATTTGTCTAGAAATTTCTGAATTAAAATACAAAAGTATGAATTTATTTTATGTTTTTCCTATTCAACAAGGTCGAAAGTTTGTAAATCCGATTTAAAAGAGAATTGACATGTTTTCAAAATACTTCCTAAAGATCGACCTATTAAAAAATTAAAGCGGACAATGTCAATCTTCCAATGGTCAAAAATCTGAAGATATCTGGCGTCTTGGCTACTATTCCTTAACAATGCTAGGCCTAGTGTATCACGCGAAATCAGGAAAAACATATTTGGGCACTGCTGGTTTCA